AAAAAAAAAAAAAAAAAAAAAAGACCAAAGCTCTCGTAAATACTGAAATCAAAATGTCAATCACTCGAAAACGAGACAAAACGGAGAATAATGATCCAAAGAAGGTGGTGTGACGGGGAAAAGAAAAATAAAGATAAAAGTGACTCAGAGAGTAAAACCACTCTGTTTTCCAGAAAAAAAAACCGAAATCCATGTGTGTAAAAAGGTAAAATCAAAATAAGTTATTCTATGCCTCTTTCCCATTTTCGACCTAAATAGCATCAAAAGTAATTTAATTGCTAATAAAAAAAAAAAAAACATGAAAAGTTTTAGGTGTGTTCAACTTGTAAGTTAAGCGAACTATTCGAGTTTTGTGGATACAACTTCTTTGCGTCTCGATATGGCAGAAATATTTCGGACAGGTATTAAATTTTGCGGTTTCTGCTAATGCAGCAGAGCTTCAATTTTTATAACTCATCGATGATTCGAAGATTGATATTTTATGTAATTAAGAATAACAAGAAAACAGATTGACTCTCGACTCGCGAGCGCAGTGTTCACTTTAGAAGTAAATTTTGTGGCGTTCCGTTTTTCCAGATACTTCTTCCTTTGTGGAACCTTGACTTGTGGATCGTAAAAAATCCGTAAAATCCGAAAAAAACAAAACAAAACATAACAAAACCCCAAACATTTCGTGATACACAGGTGGAACACGAGCACACGTGTTATCCCTCTTTCACGCGTATCACTCGTTTTCTTCTTGACCTTCTGCTACACACGCTGCTGGAGGAAAAAATTTTAAAAAAAGGGAGAAAAAAGTTCCCAATTCATGAATCCCTTTCTTTTCGATTCGGAAAGCTTGAAAAATTCCTAACGCTTCACCAACGTGTGTCACTCCTTAAACTAGTCATGTGTGACGCGCAAGTTCGTGAATCGTTGCCACTAATATTTCAAGTTTCCGACATAACTTGACAGCTGAGTAAACAAAACGGCTCCTTAATCAATTCTACCTTTCCTTATTTTCTCTACAATACGTCCAGGATCAGTTTTGATAATTTTTCCACAAGCACTAGTATGACTATACGTAGTAGACCCCTCGGGTAAAAACGAAATCACTGGAAGGAGGTTCGGAAAATCATGGAACGCCTGTTAATTAAAACTACGTCAAAATCATGTTTATGTTATTACCTTTACAAAAGACATGTTAAAGTAGCATTAAACCAACCCACTGTTAGAATATAAGTATTCAAAACTAATGAGCCACATTACCTGGTTAAAAAAAAAATAAAAAAAAACCACCCTACAAGCTTTATCTTCATATCAAGATTTTCATGACAAACTGTCATTAAGACATTGCGTACAGTTAAGGTTATTGTTGTAGAATTCAGATGACATTACCACTAAATGAGAACTATCAGTTATAAAAGTTTCATAACTGCAACATGATTGTTATTTTTCTGTGTGCATGCAAATAAGCTTCTTTCTTTGCTTTAGAGTGAAAATCACATTGTTTTCATGAGATGTTGTTGAGGCAAGAAAGGTTAATTTACATGAAAATAGGAAAATAGCGATTAAATGTGCCATTTAAGAGAGGGGTGTACAATGCAATTGAGGGATTTGGAGGGTGCTAAATCCCAAAGGCCAAAACAACACAAATTCTCTTGACAGCCTAGACACACTGTTCAAACAAGTACTAGGAATTTATCACCTTAAGGATATTATACAGTACAGCACCAATCTCTCAAGAATGGCACAAAAAGAAATGTATGGTTATTAACAGCTATCAAAAACTTGGGAATCAACAGTCCTAGAACCTCAAACCTTCTCATAGCGTCATTTTATTAACAATAACAAAGGGATTAAAGTCGTATTACTAAATAAATGATCAGGGACACAGGACAGAAAAATTATTGGCTTGAGGTCTGCACATCAAGACTGAGAAAGATATAGCTTCCCATCTTACTGGCCTGCCCTTTATCAATCAATAAGCATTTTATCATGACTAGTGCTCTTTGTCTTTCTTCATTTGTCTTTGCATTCTGCTTATTGATTGGACCACATGCAAGCTGATGAATCTTTTTAACAGTCCAACCTGTGCCATAGCATTTCCCCTTTACATAAACTTTTTTAAAAATGATTTTTAATGAAAGTGGGTGAGGGGTAGCATTGGTCATATGATAATTAACAATTATTCCACGAGCGCGCGTTGGATATGAGATGATAGATAGCCAACGAGGCGCGTAGCGCCGAGTTGGCTATAATCATCTCATATCCAACAAACGCGAGTGGAATAATTGTTTTATTAAAAACGCTACATTAAATTATTAAATTTTATTAAATTTTTAGCTCCCTTTCAATTTTAAGCTTAGGCATATGCTTACCATATCGTAGTTTATGGTATATTGGCTCATATACCATAATGGCTAAGCCAATGAAAAGTCTTGAATTGCATTATCCAATGATCCAGTTTTTAA